GAGAAAAAATATGTTTTAAATATAGGATTTAATGAGAGAGAATAGGAAAATATTTTATTTTTCAATTGGTTTTAAATTTTACATTCTATTTTCATCATTAATAAAAACATTTCTTATTTAACATACTTATTATTGTTTAATATGTATGTTAAAAATGTTCCCAACTTTTTTAATTTCTATTTTTTTTTATTTTATCTATTTTTTACTTTTATTATTTAATCATGGTAGCATGGATTAACCCATTTGACCCAAAATGATTTAATTTCTTACCACCAGTTAGATGAAAAAACTATTTTTTCTAGGTAGATTTTAAAGGTATAAGCTTTTATGTTATTGGAATTATTAATTTATTAAGTATGGATTTAGTTAATAGAACTTAATGATGAGAATAAATAAAAATGACTTAAATATATGATTCAATGAACATAAATGCAGGTTAATAACTTAAATGTTGGATTTAATGAGAGATGATTGAATGCATTGAATATCTTTAAGTTACCTCTTTTCAACTCATTTAATATCAAGAACCCCTAACCCTATTTGCCTCGTTTTTTATCATTAAATTTAAATATAGAGGGTAAATGTTGTCCTTAGAAAATTCCAGAAATATTCTTGGGGCTTTTCGTACTTTTTAAAGTAGTATAGATTTATTATGAAATGGTTAATTGATGGACACCCATTGGACAACAAATAGTGATATGTTTTTACATGCATTAATAGTTAAAAGGTGTGGCAACATAATTACGTTGGTTAAAGAGATCTCTTTCCATAATCAAGTACGTTTCAAACTAGTTTAGAGGTGGTTTAATAATGGCTGAAATAACTAAACCAACTTCTATTGAAAATTGATGAGGGGTAATTTGGTCCGCCAAATGACATCACGAAATGTAGCTTTCAAGTGACACCTCAGTGTTGAGTAAGCAAATCACCTCGGCAAGTCGAGTGGTAGTAGCTCACCTAGGCCAACCTAGATTACATTGGCCTAGCCAACTTGAAAGGGCTCTGAGCTAGGAGTGACCTACCTTAAAGAACGACCGAGCTATGGTAAGTACTATTGGTGACCTATAAGGCACGCTCGTTGACTTGTCACATAGGTCTGTTGCCAGTTTGAGATCTCCGGAGTATTAATGAGTCGACCGTTGGGTCGGCCTGTCTGCATCAAACGCATGAAAGTGAATCAGGTGGACCTTAGCACCCCACGCATATTACGTAATCGATGTCATAACTCTCTCGACTTATTGGAAACAGCTCTACGAGAACCTAAGACTCGTTACATGAGGTCTCTGATCACCTTCACCCATATAAAGGACTCATTTTCACCTGAAGAGGTATGCGCGATTAAGCTCTCGCACTCTCTTATCTCTCAAGAATTCTCAAAAACCCTTCGTTAACTTAAGCATCAAATTGCCCACCTCGGGTAAAAACAACCCGAACATTCTAACTTTTCCTCTTGCAGAATTATATAGCTCGGTCATTGACAGGACAAGCATTCGATTCAATGTCCACGTCATCCGATACGTGAAAGCAGTCAGATCGTGCTACATCAAAAACTAAGAAGAAAGTCTATATATTTTTAAATTTGACCAAAGACAAATTAAGAAAATGATCTTAAATTCTATTAAATAAAATGCTTCACAAAAATCAGATATGAAATTTATTTGGGAACTTCAAGACTTGTACAATTCTATGTTGGATTGAGGAACCAATGTTTGCAAAAACCATGGCATCATCACAAGACAACAATTGAAGATATACTCAAGATATCTAAACTCCAAGAGATTCCTTGCAGGGGTAGCCCATCCCCCTTACACTCTGTTCATCTTTCATTTATTTGAGTTATTTGTTCTAGATGAAGAGAGGAATACAATAGTAATAATCTGAATATCTTACTTGTGGTGACACCAATGAAAAAATCATATAGTTATAGATTGCCCTCTAATGAATTCTTAATCGAATATTTAGTATAGATTAATCAAATCAAAATATGTTTAGAAGATTTAACTAATCTTGCTTGCTTCGTTGACAATCTTTTCTTTATTGAATATGACTATTGTTTTGAAATGCAATTGATTTTTTTAGTGGACTTCCTCCTCATTCAAGATCTCTTTTTATGATTGTCTTGAATAAAAACTTACTAGCTAAGAAGTATCTAGAATTACCAATTTCTCTGCATACACTAAAACCCAATCTAAAGAACACACGTCTTGCATCTTTAGTTCAAATGAACTTAAAATCAATTGGTGCATACCTAGAAAAGGTTAAATCCTTAAATTAAACGGCCCTATCGGGAGTCAAGTCACCACAAGTGCTTTTAAGTGCCTTTTTAGTCTTTATATTTGTTTCACTATCAAAATTTGCAATTTGTGGTGGAGGAGAAAAAACATGATATGACATAGAAAAGTAGAGATATTCTTTGGTTTTCTTAGGTAATTAATGGAACAGAGGTGGAAGAAAAAACTTAGTATAGCAGACATCATTTGGATTTGTTCTTGCAAGGAACAACAAATCTATAGGAAAGAAGCCATCGTGCTTAACCAACAATGATGCAATATGCAGCTAAGATCTTATCAAATGCATGCCTCAAGGGGAAAAAAACACAAGGTAAAGTACTATGCTTTTTTCTAATTTTTCAAGTAAGAAGATACATAGAGATGCTATTTACCTTTCTCATTCCCTTGAATAAATTTATGGAATTAAAAAATTTGATCCCCGAATTTGGCATCTCCTAACCAAGTCAAACTAAATTTTGATGGTTATAGTTATGGAAAGAATACATTGGGTACATGCCCCATGGATCAGTGTGTTATTTTTTACATATCCATTGAACCTGATTGTGTAATGTAGGAGAAGTGGGAATGGACTTGATCTATTTCTAACATGGAAGAGTAGTTCCTTAATTTTGTATTTAACATTACTTAATTTTTATTAAGTGAATTAAAGATAGATAGAACTAGATATTGTCTTAACTTCATACTCTTTCCCTTTCATGTTTATTTGTTAGTTAATAAGCTTTTTGCTGAATGCTTGTTTGGTTCTTGAAAACATTGCTGCTCATCATTTTAAAAGATAGGAACAAGTTTATGGTGAACTTGCACATGCAACACACGTGCCCCACCACTAGTATAAGTAAATCAGCAAACAAATATTAGAAGAACATTGCTTTTCTCCGGCTATCAAAATAACTCAATAAACAATTTTCAGACGCCAATTTTCGAAAAGAAAGGATGAACACCAATCGCCATCCACAACCTATTATTTACATTTCATTAACGTTTGCAAATTATAGTTGAGGATGGAGGGAGGCTCTATTTTCGATAATGCGTGGGAGACCAGAGTTTGATATCATAAGGGTTTCCTCTCATTTTTCTCTTAATTATTTATTTATAATTTTTTTTTTACTTTTTTTATTGATTTACTAGCGGAGACTCGTGCGATACACAGGATTTGTTAAGGAAGGCTAAAAAGTAAAACACATAAGAGTATACAATTGTTTTATATTTCTAACTTTTAAAATAATATAGTACGAGTCTAGTAATTATTAAAAGTTTTTTATTAAATAACAAAACAAAAATAGATTTATACATAATTATTGAAAATATATTTATCACAAAAAAATTAAAAATAATGGCTGAAAATAAAATAAATATTAATTTTAGTAAATATATAATAAATATAGATTAATATTTTAAAATCATTATTAATGAGTATTATTTTTTTGAAAGTTATTTTTCTAGAATTATTAATTGATATAAGTGAAATTGGTTATTTACAATATTATTTAGTTATTTAAATAATATCATTTAAATTTTATAATTTTAATTATTTATTAAATTTAATAATCCCTAAAATTATAATTTATACTATTATTAAATAATTTCATTATTAATTTTGTAAAATATTAAATTATTATTAATTTGAATATTATGTTATGATTATTTTTTATTTTTAAGATTTTATTTTTAAATTTATTACATAATCCCATTATTTTAACTATTTAAAATATAGTAAATATTTAGTTATTTAAATATTTAAATAATATATAAAATATTTAAAATTTTTTATTATTTGAATTTAATTTATTTAAAAGTTATTATTGAATATTAAATATTTTTCTATAAATTATTTATCTATTTTTAGTGTTTTATTATTTAATATGTTTAGTTATTGAAATATTGAAATAATATTTTATTTTTAAATCTTAATTTTATATTATTTGAATAACATTTAATTTGAATAATCCACAAAATGTTGAAAAAATCATAATTTATATTCTTAGTACATAATTTCGTGATGAATTTTGTAAAAATATAAAATTATTAATAATATGAATATTATTAAATCTATTATAATTATTTTTTATGTTTTTAATAACTATTTTAAAGTTTTTATATAATTTTGTTAGAATATTTCAATAATTTTTAAATTTTTTAATTTATACTATATATATATAAAGTGGGGAAGGGGATAAATAAGTATTAGAGATAATTTGGAGAGAAACTCTCTAATAAATTAGAGATAAGAAAAGAGATAAATAAAAATTGGAGATGATTTAGGAGAAAGCGGGGAAAGTAAATCCAAAAGAAATTTTAGGAGAGGAGATTGTTGGAAAAGTTTAGTGAGGGAGAGATTGGTTTTTGATAATATTTTATGGGAAAAAAGAGCAACTTATTAGTTGCTTAAAAAATGATATGAAACAAAAAATAAAAAATTCAAAAAAAAGGAGAAAATTCATACAGTTCTTTCTTTTAACATCTCTCTCTATGTTTCACAAAAAAAAAGGATAAATAAATAGATAGTATTAACATTTTCAATCTGTTGCAAGTTTAATCCAATTCAGCAAATGTTGGTGTGGCAAAATAGAAAATAAGGACTCATTTTTTAAGCTCAAATTTTCAGTTTTTTTAAATGATTAAATAATAATCACTTGTTTTATTTTTTCTACCAAAACTATCCCAAATAAATTTTTAGAATAGCATTAATGCCCTTCGAATAAAAGACCATAAGGTTTTACCCATACACAATCTTCTCTGCAACCAGCGGAAGCGGCGGTTTCTCCCCTTTAGCGAACATAGGTAAGATTTCATTCATGGCGGAATGTTCTCAATGCGTTTTCTACTCTTTTCCTTCATTTATTCACTGTGATTTCTCGTCTCCTTCATCTTCTCACTGAACCAGAGGCGGGAGTCGTTCCAGCGGCGGCGATCTATTACCAGCGTTCGAAATCGCAGCAGGTTGTTGTTTCAGATCGACTGCTATTTTCGTTTTTTGACTCCCAGATGTTTTGTTTGATTACCAGTATATATTTTCCCCTAATAAGATGTTGTAACTTTTTGTCTAACAAATTATCAGACCTAGAAGATACGAGGCTATTATTCTTGGGATTTTTTTTTGAAGAAAAGGCAACTTTTTATTGAAGAAGAGAAAAAACAGAAGTACATGAGAGGATGTACTGAAGCCAAGAGTGGCTTGGCAGGATTAAAAGGCAAACAACTGTCACTAAACAAGAAATCTGTAGAGATCCCTAATTTTGCTAGGTTATCAGCAACAGAATTTTGCTCTCTAGGATATTTTTTTTCCTACTGTTGTTTTTAAAATTTAATTTAATTTTTGTCCACCTTATAGAAATTATTGTTTAATCGTATTTTGCAAGATTTATTATCCCTATCTTAATGGTGATCTCCTCCTCATTTTCGGGTAGAGAATAACAAATAAGTACTGTCAAATCTCTCATATCTGTTCTTTTGATTTTTTCAGGGTATCACTCTTCTATATTTATCATCCTTTTCACAATTTCTTATTTGTTTGTTAACTTTTTACCATGTTCACATGCTTTAGTTTTACTCAACTTTCAGTTTAGAATCCCTCTAGAAACCCAAGAAACTCTGTTTCCTCTATGAGAGAAACTCTGTTTCCCTCCCACCTGCAAGAAGACTTGGACTGGTGTAACGACAGTTTACATATTTATAGCAATATCTTGCTCTGATTGCAATATTAGATTTATCTATGGCGTGAAAATTGGAATTGCACCTCAACTTCAATCATAGAATACTGGCCATTTTCCACGCATAACCATTCAAAACTTCAGTCAAAACGGTTGATGACCTACCAATAAAGCACCCTCTTTAAGTACTAGCAGACTCCACTAAACCTCAACCCATTTCAACCCATTCACTTCATCCTTGGTTCCTAACCCACATTATACATGCCATGTTTCACTGTAGGGCCCACTTGGCCCATTAAACCATAATTGACCCAGTCATGCCCACACCTGTCCATGTCCATCTTCATATCAGATTGTGTCCTCAGCTGTCTTCTCCAATCTCATCCTATCAGATCAGCTGGTAGAAAACACCAAGGAAACAAGAATATGCCATTGGTGTTTGACCCATACAAAATGCTGTAGCAATGACTCCTCCAATCGGATTACTAACTATGGTCTTTGCTTTGTAATTTTGTTTTGGTTTTCTTGCTGTTCCTTCTCTGTTAGGATTGTTAATGAAATATCTGGGTTTACCCCCAAAAAAAGCCCAGAAAAAGCATTTTATGGTCTGAATCCTTAGATGAAGAAAATATTGTTGAGGTTTCACAAAACTTGTGTAGTCCTGTGAATTGTTTAGGAGGTTTCAGCAATTAATATATTCTTTTTCCTCCTATACTTAAATCAAAATAAGAAGACAGCGGCTTTCTATGTTCCCTATTAGTGGGTGCAATGATTGGAAAATGCAAAGACAAACAGAAACAAATAAAGTACAAATCTTACAACCAGAAATAGATAGTCTTGTTTTCTTATCAGTATAAAAGGAGATATTGTTATATTTAACAAACTACAAACCTTATTTATAAAAAAAAAAACAAACTACAAACCTTACAACCAGAAACAAATTGGCCTTCATTCAGTTATTTTGACAATATATGATAGTAGGAGCAAAGACAAACAGTAGTCTGGAAGTGACGATGTAATTTGAAAGAAAGTGTAAGCACAATGATGGAAGATCCTGTAACTAAGTAGGACATTAAAGAGAGCTATATTAGTGGTTATTTTCAGAAGTCAACAAATAAAAGTTATTGAATTAATTTGCCAGCTGAATCTTTTGCATTTCTCTTTTTCTGGGCAGCATAGAAAAGGGGCCCTGTTTATTGTCTTCTTGGTTCAATCTTCAAGTTTTAGCAGCGGTGGTGCTTTTACATGATCTTACCACTTCCATTTGATCCCATTGTCATCCTCCTTCATTTTTCTATTATTTTCCCTCTTGCCTATTTCTCTCTCTCTCTCTCTCACACACACACATTCACCTAATTTTTCTTTCCTTACCCCTCACCCCTGTTTCTCTCTTCGGCACCCAAAATCCAGCAAACCACCAAACACCCTTTTTAGTCTATAACCAACTTGTGCTTCTTTGTTCTAATCCAAGTTCGAAAGTCAAATTCCATTGAAGCCAATATTTAGCAGCTAGTTGAAGTTACTGTCTCAGTTGACAGTGTTAGGTTGAAGGGTTTTATGTATAGATGGTTCGGCTGATAAGTGTTCTTATTAGCCTGTATTTGTGTTTAAGTTGTTATGTACCGGGCCTGTGTTAATGGGCCTAAGTTTGTTTGGTGTTTTAAGTAGTCTGGGTGTCCCATCACTAATCAGGGGCATTCCAGACATTTCCTGTAACATTGTACTATAATCTAATATAAATGATAGTACTGTCAACTGGGTTTAGCAGTTTGACATTCTCAACATCTCTTGGTCTCCTCGTCTCTTCTACTACTTCGGCTACAACATTTCAGCTTTGATGGTATCAAAGCATTGAGCGATTTCCTGGTTACAACCGACGCCATCTCCTCTCTCTTGCTGTCTTTCTTTCTTTTTTTTTTTATCTTGGTTGCTGCGGTGAAACCCTAGGGTTGCAGGAGAACAATACAAAGTTCGAACCTAGGGTTTCCCTTGGTTGTAGGGCGCAAGGGAAGTGAGACCCAGAAGCTGATGTCCTACTAGATTTTTTCTAGTAGTTAGTAGCCATTCAACTGCTAAGAGAGGTCTGTATAGGACAGACCTAGATTGAGGACTGATTTCAGCAGTCCTAGTATTGGCCGTAGGGGGGAACACTCTCTACAGTTGCAGTAATCGAAGCTCAAGAGAAGTCTGCATAGTGTAGTGGTGGAGAGCTCTCAGCTTCAGGTCGGTTACCAGCTCACAGAACACCTTATTTGCTGCTATAACTGAACTACTTCAGAATTGCAACAGTCTCGGCAAGTCTGAACCAGTGTTGTGAGCTGTCAGAACCTTCTTCAATACTGCAACTAGTCTTTTTTCAGCACTGTGAACACTTCGACTAGTCTGAATAGTGTTATCTATACAGAGTCTGCAGCCAAGATGTCTTCAATATCCGGAGAGGTCTCTTCTAGGGATAACAGACCTGGTGAGAGGTCTTCAAATCCGGAAAACCTGAATCTGCACAACTTGCAGATTACAAGTGTGCTGCTGGATGAATACAATTTCAGGGAGTGGTCCGTTTCTGCAATGCTTTTTATTACTTCCCGTTATGACACAGGCTACTTAAATGGGAGTAAGAAGGAACCTGAAGTTGGCAGTGCGGAGTATGCAGTGTGGCGCAAGGAGAATGCCACAATTATGTCCTGGCTGCTTGCCTCTATGAATCCACGAGTTGCTAGGACTGTTCAACACTTTCCCACAACAACCAAGATTTGGGAAAAAGTGTCTAAAACCTATGGACAAAAGAAAATAATGCTAGAATCTACAGATTGAATCAAGACATTACTGCCTTAAGGCAAGGGGATATGACAGTTGCAACATATTTTGCAACTCTGGAAGGACTTTGGGAAAAACTTGACCATCACTTGTTTTTGGATTGGGAAAATGCCAAGGACAAGGAGAGACATGATAAGCAGATTGAAGGGAGCAGAGCCTTTAAGTTCTTGGCTGGCCTGGACCCAGTGTATGAGGGCATAAGGTCACAAATTCTAGGAAGAGATGAACTGCTCGAGTTACATCATGTTTATTATCTGGTAAGGAATGAAGAAGTCAGGAGAAAGGAGATGCAAGTTGACTCTCATTCAACCAGCTGAACAATTTGGTGAACATTCAACCCTGATTTCTACTAAGGGAAACAAACATCCAGACAAGAAGCATCTTAAGTGCACTCATTGTGGGGGTGAGAGACATGTAAAAGAAAAGTGTTGGGTCCTATATCCTCACCTGAAGGCAACTGCATTGAGAAAGGACAAGAAGCAACAGAAGGGTCATGTGGCAAGTGGGAACCTCGTCACTAGTAACAAGGGTGACAACTCACAGAGTATACCAATAGTGGCTTCTTCTCCCATGGGGCAGGTTGCTGATTCCTCTGGAGCCGGTGCCTTGGGCTTCACTGCTAGTGAGGTAGAGGTCCTTAGCCGGGCTTTAGCCCGTCTAAGGAGTAATTCTTTTGCTTCCACCTCTCTTGCTAGATCAGGTATAGTCTCTACCTTTAGTGCAACTAGTTCTATTGACTCTACTTCTTGGGTTATTGATTCCGGTGCAACTGACCACATGACACATGTCCTCCTTATTCTCTTCATATCAATTGTTGTCTAGTTAGGATAAGATGAGAGTTGCTGACGGGTCTTTCTCCACCATCTCTGGAAAAGGGGTGGTTGACCTAAGCAAGGACCTCTCTCTTAAATTAGTTCTACATGTTCCCAGTCTCACCTCAAATCTTTTGTCTATTTCAAAACTTACTAAAAAATTGAACTGTAGTATAACCTTTTTTCCTACTCATTGTGTCTTTCAGGGCAGATTGACGAGGAGAACGATTGGGAGCAGTCATGAGTATGGAGGCCTCTACTATTTTGATGCAAACATCGGTTTAGCCTTATAAGCATCTACTGCGAGTAGTCCAGAGAGTGTGGAGTCAATATCTAGGTTGCATCTGTGGCATGCTAGGCTAGGTCATTTACCTTTCTCTTCATTAGAAATGTTGTTTCCCGAATTGTTTAAGGGTATTTCAAGTCAGAGTTTAGTCTGTGAAGTATGTCAAATGTCAAAACAATGTAGAACTGTTTATCCAATTTCTAGTAATGAAATTCAAACTCCTTTTGATTTGGTTCATTCTGACGTTTGGGGCCCTTCACCTATTGTTTCTATTGATGGATTTCGTTACTTTATCAATTTTATTGACCACTACTCTCAATGCACATGGATCTACCTGTTAAAAGGACGAGATGAAGTGCCACGGATAAACTATGGCAT